CTTCAACTCGGGCTTTCAATTGAAGGCCCGAGTTGTAGACCCGAGTTTGTAGCAGCGATGTCAGACAAGATATGAATGTTTTTTTGGGCTCAAATGAAAGAGCGGGTCGAGAAATGACGTGCTAGAGCCTCTAAACATGACAAATGTCTCTAAAGATGATATCTGTTTTCAATTGAAAAGCAGAGTTGTGACATCATTGTCTAGGAGGACAATGGGGTCTAGGAGTATGTATAGAACATTGGGGTCTAGGAGTCTCCCCTGGTTCAAAACCATCTTTAGAGGTCCTAGCATGCCATTTCTCGACCCGTTCTTTCATTTGAGCCCAGAAAACCTTCATATCTTTTCTGACATCTTTGTTACAAACTCGGGTCTTCAACTCGGGCTTTTAATTGGAGGGCCGAGTTGTAGACCCGAGTTCGTAGGAGCGATTTCAGACAAGATATGAACGTTTTTTTGGGTTCAAACGAAAGAGCGGGTCGAGAAATGACGGGCTAGAGCCTCTAAACGTGACAAATGTCTCTAAAGATGATATCTGTTTTCAATTGAAAAGCAGAGTTGTGACATCATTGTCTAGGAAGACAATGGGGGGCAGTATGTATAGAACATAGGGGTCTAGCAGTCTCCCCTGGTTCAAAACCATCTTTAGAGGTCCTAGCATGCCATTTCTCGACCCGTTCTTTCATTTGAGCCCAGAAAACCTTCATATCTTTTCTGACATCTTTGCTACAAACTCGGGGCTTCAACTCGGACTTTCAATTGGAGGCCCGAGTTGTAGACCCGAGTTTGTAGGAGCGATGTCAGACAAGATATGAATGTTTTTTTGGGCTCAAATGAACGAACGGGTTGAGAAATGACGTGCTAGAGCCTCTAAACGTGATGAATGTCTCTANTGTTTGTAGGAGCGATGTCAGACAAGATATGAATGTTTTTTTGGGCTGAAATGAACGAGCGGGTTGAGAAATGACGTGCTAGAGCCTCTAAACGTGATGAATGTCTCTAAAGATG